GAAGAAGAGAGGTTAATTCAGGTGGTCTTTTAATTATATAGTGAGGAATGCAGTTTATATTTTAGGAATTATTTCCCTAATATTAATGGTTTTACCACACATACAATTTGAACAATGAGATCTTCATTGAAGGTCTTTAAAAATCGTTTATAACGTCATCTCTCCAGTCATGGCAATGTCATATACAAGAAAAAGTAATCTGAATGAACAATACAAGGGAAAGAGTTGTGAAGTATGGTACACAATTCTATAGGTGTATAGAAACTAAAATATGACTACGTAATAGCATATCAAAATTCTTATGGTGGGGTCCTACCATTTAGCTCAGTTATTTAAGTGGCTGCTTAAACAAAGCAATCAGATGTCAGCAAACATTTTATTGGTGAGGAAGATTTTTAAATTAAATCAAATTTAATTTTAAAGAGTACAAACAAATAGAAAACAAAGGCAAAAACAGAGTAACAAGGAACAGTGTACATGATACAGAGTTTCAAAACAAGAATAAAAATTTAGCAATGGCTGTTATATTAAGAGGTTAAGCTTAACAGCCTAAGTTGTATGGTAATAACAATAAGCTTGTCTTCTGGATGGGTAACAACCTAAGTTTGCAGACCAAAATTAGAGAAAAAGGAGGGCTGCAAGGAAAGCCAACATTTTGGCCCTAACCTTCCAAGGTCAATTAAGACTCAGGACATATGAGAACTTGTACTGTAACGTCATGTACCTCGGTAGTGTCCCAAATTTTCTGATCAAGGAGATTATGGGGACAAAGAGGAAAGTGATTGATGATGTAGAGAGTGCCTAAGGAGAGTCACATGGAGAGAAAATATTCTCTCAGGCTTTCACAGAAAGCACATTGGCCAAGCAATGGCCTGACTCATCCACATGGCTGACACTGACAAACAATCTGAGGTACAGGATCTCAAGATAAATCCTGAGGGGATTTCACTGACCTTATCAGATCCAAAAGCTACAACTCTTGTTGCATAGGTCCTGCTTTACCTTGGTCCTAACCACCCAGCAGAAAAGTATAAAAACAAAATATAAGAAGTAAAGCCATGCTGTTATGTTGAGCTGTAGGGGACTCAGGTCAACAATTTCTGACATTGCCAGTGAAGCAGAAGACCCAATACTATTAGGGACTAATGGACTCTTTTGGATTATTTTGCTGAGTTAGCACACCTATAATATTCAAATAACGGATCTTAACAAAAAAGGGTATGCAGATGAATGTCCACTTCGTATCTGTGTATTCAAGGTGATTGGGATAGATATATAGTTACATTCTCTTAATGAATAGAGTGATTTGTTCTAATGGTGTTTGTAGATAGGATATCATGTCCGCATCTTGTACAGCAATTAACCACTGGGAGGAATGTATGCAATGTGTTAATTATTGAAACTGTCCTACCAATTTGATTTGAAACTGTCTCATTGCTATTTGTTTATCAATAAAATTATGGATAAAATTTTTTTTAAAAAAGCAGTCAGGCTCAGGTTGCTGTGGTTCGATCCCCAGAACTCGAGCCAGCCAAACCCTCCCTGAAGGCAATCTGAGCCAGCAAAAAAAAAAAAAAAAAAAAACAATTCTTGTTGTAAGATGCTCAACGAAGAAAGAATACATAATTCTATCTATAATGCAATAACTAATTATGTACAAATTAAGTATGAAGCAAAATTAGGATTTGATAAGAACCCAGAAAAATACAAGCAATTGATAAGGTTACACAGTGGCATTGTAGGGGGGGGAAAGGCTTTTCAGTTATTTATGTGTGACAAGTGGAAAGATGTATTTTTCAAAGCATTCATCTCTCTTGAAGTGTGATTATGATTCTCATGGAAGATAAGATAGATGCAAAAGGCCTCCTGCAGTCTTGGGACCTTTGGTTCCTAAGTTCCAAAGAGGATGGTGTCCAGAGACCACAAGATTCCAAAGCATCGCTGGTTTCCATTAAAACCTCATTTATAGAATTAAAAATTAATTTTATGGAAATAAATTAAAGCAGTCTTTTCATCAGCATGCACTTGATCTAATTAAACTTGGAGTGATTGTAACAGCCATTTCTGAGCTGTTATTGAAGAAGATGAAATCTGTTGTGAGTTTTGTTCTTAGTCTGCTAGGAAACGACACTGAGATGAGTTTGTTAAGCTTCTGCGTGGTAGTTGCTCTTTGGCCCAAAGATCCTAGAAAGCAAGGTGCCACCTCTAGGGGGTTATTCATGACAATGAGTCCAATATAATGGGTGCCCTCAACAAAACCAGCCCAGGCCTCTCCTTGGGGAGCAGGGCAAGCAGAAGATCCAGTGTGGTTCCAAATCTGAGAAGATGCAGGGGTTGAATCCAGGCCCCACCTTCCCCGAGCAGTAGCAACCCTTGTTTGTCACTGAGGCATCTGCAGCTGGGTCCTCAGCAGTCATCCTGTTGAGGCCTTAGACCCCAGGGCACCCCAGCATGGCCTTGCCCAGCTCAGATCACTTGCTCCTTGACTTGGAGTCAGATTCATGGCACAGTTTCTTGGTTTTTTACTCCCTTGATAAAATCCTTGCCCCTTGCATCTGGTTCTTAGAGACTGTGTGTACATATATATAAATGCATGTGTATGTATTTTACAGATTTATATGGGCACATGTATATACATATGCTGATGTGTGTTGCATGTTTAAATCATAATTCACCTGCATTTGATGAGGCATTAACTGTGTCCAGATGTTGGCCATTTTATTTTTATTTTTTTTTAATATTTTTTTTTATTTTATTAGAG